GCCGGCCTGAGGGATGGGCCCCTCCAGGCATGAAGCCGCCAAGTGGTGAACGTGCACGCGGTGGCGCTGTGCAAGGTTCAGGTGCACAAGGTGATGGTGCACAAGGTAAAGCCCACCCTGGGATGTTCCTCATGGTTGAGGATGTGCAAGGGAGTGGGGGTGATGTGGGTTCAGTTGGGAAGGTTGTGATGCACCCCCTCACTCACTGGGTGATCGATTCAGGTTGCACGAGTCATATGACCCCACGGGCAGATTTGCTTGATGAGGTAAAACCTCCTGGGAAGATCAAGTTTGTGGCTGCCGCTTCAGGTGCTTTGCTCCCTGTGATTGGTGTTGGGAATGCCAAGGTGATGGGAGCCAATGGAGAGCTTGTGGGGCTTGGGAATGTGCTGTTGGTTGAAGGTTTGTCCGCTAACCTTCTTTCTGTGCGCCGGCTGCAGAAGAGCAAGGCTGAAGTTACCTTCGGCCCAACCAGCTGCCGTGCAAAGCTTGGGAAGTTGCTGCTGTGGAACTTGGAGGAGAAGAGCAGCTGCATCAAGGACTTGTGGCAGCTGCCCATCATCCCTTGGAAGGGGAAACCACCAGCAACGGCAAAGGCAGCGGCAGCGGCTAAAGCAACTGCGGGAGGAGAGGAGAATGCACCAACTGCTGGGGCCCTGGATGCAGTCAAGAAGGTGCAGCAGCCACAACAGCCACATGGTGAGGTGCTTGCTGGTGTGGATGCGACAGCTGCATGGGCAAAGGCTTCATCTGGGAGTGGTGAGGCTGATTGGGAGACGTGGCATGAGAGGCTGTGCCATGTGAACATTCCTATGCTGCAGAAGTTGGTAAAGGATGGGTGCTTGAAGGGGCTGGAGGTGAAGGGGGGAGCAAAGGAGATTGGGAGCTGCCCTACCTGCCTTGAGACCAAATTCACGAAGTTTCCCTTCAGCAGCAGCACAGGACCAGCCAAGGCACCACTTGCACTAGTGCACATGGATGTGGTGGGCCCCACGAGGGCCCTTTCTCTCTCGGGCAGCCGCTACTTCTTGACGATTGTGGACGACCACACGCGTGCGGTGTGGGTGTACCCTCTCAAGACTAAGGGGGAGGTGGCAGCGGCTGTTCTTAAGGAGTGGATGCCGAGAGCACAAAGGGAAAGCGGACACAAGGTGAAGGTGATCCGCACTGACAACGGAGGAGAGTTCATCGGCGCTGATTTTGAGAAGGAGCTGAAGCGGAAGGGGATCCAGCATCAGCTCACAGTGCCTTACAACCCTCAGCAGAATGGCGTGGCTGAGCGGTTCAACCGGACCCTGCAGGAAGGTGCTCGCACTCTCCTTGGGCGTGCAGGGCTGCCGGATCCGTTTTGGGTGACAGCACTGCGGCAGGTCGTTGTTGTGAAGAACAGGGTGCTGGCAACTGTGGGGGACAAGCAGTGGGTCCCCTACACCAAGTGGTATGGGATTGCACCAGCTGTGAACATGCTGAGAGCCTTTGGGTGCATGGTGGTGTTTCATGTGCCTAAGGAGAAGAGGGGAAAACTGGAAGCTTCTGGGAGATGGGGTGTGCACTTGGGGCTTGCTAAGGATCACAAGGGCTGGCTGATTTGGGACTTGACCAGCCAGCAGCTGACCGTGTCAAGGGATGTGAAGTTCCTTGAGTCCTTGTACTACAAGGAGTGGAAGCAGCAGCAGCAGCAGAAGCTTCCAACGACACCGCTAATTGTCGAGGCCGATGAGGTGCAGCGGCCTTCAAGGCAAGTGGAGGTTTCCGTCTCTGAGAATGAGATCTCTGGGGTGACAGAGGATGGGGGAGAACCTGAGGTGGAGGAGCAGCAGCAGCAGCAACAGCAGCAGCAGCCGCAGCAGCAGGAGGAGCAAGGTGCTCCACAAGGTGCCGGACGTACGGCTGACCGTCCTAGGAGGGATGTGCGCCCTCCTAACAGGCTGACCTATGCAAGCCGTGGCAAGCCAAAGGTGGTAAGGGCTGGGAGTGTGGCTGAGCAGTGTGATGAGGAAGAGATAGCACACTGCTACTGGGCAGCCGTCCCTGAGCCCAAGACGCTAGCTGAGGCCTTGAGTGGGCCCGATGCTGAAAAGTGGAAGCAGAGTGTGAAGGAGGAGTATGATTCTCTGCTGGAGAATGAGACGTGGGAGCTGTGTGAGCTGCCACCCGGGAAGAAGGCCATTTCTTCCAAGCTGATTTTCAGGCACAAGTATGGACCTGATGGGGCGCTGACCCGCTACAAGTCAAGGCTTGTGGCTAAGGGGTTTCAGCAGACAAAGGGAAAGGACTTCAACGAGCTCTATGCTCCTGTGGGGAAAGGCACAACACTTCGGGTGTCATTGGCAATGGCAGCAAACCGTGGATGGCGGGTGAAGCAGATGGACATCACCACCGCCTTCCTCAATGGGATCATTCTGGAGGAGCTGTACATGTTACAGCCTGAGGGTTTGGATGATGGGAGCGGCAGGGTGTGCAGGCTGAAGAAGGCCATCTATGGCCTGAAGCAGGCTCCTCGTGCATGGTATCACAAGTTAGAGGAGACTCTGCTGGCTGGGGGTTTCAAGAAGAGTGAGTGTGATCACAGCTTGTTCCTGCTGCAGGAGAAGGAGCAGTTTCTCATGCTCCTGGTGTATGTGGATGACATCCTGCTCTTCTCTGAGTCGTCTGCAATGATTGAGCATGTGGAGGAGATGCTGGAGATGCAGTTTAAGTGCTCCAAGATGGGAGATGTGAAGTACTATTTGGGCATGCATGTGGAGAGGGACCTTGACAAGGGAGTGTTGAGGTTGCACCAGAGAAAGTATTGTGAGGGGCTGGCTGAGAAGTATGGGCTGCAAGATGGAGGAAAGCCAGCCACCCCACTGCCTTCGGGGTTCACTGTGGAGCCCTGTGCTGAAGAGGAGGTGGTGGGTGAGAGTGACAGGAAGCTGTTTCATTCCATGGTGGGGGCACTCAATTATGCGGCTAACCACACGCGGCCTGACATTGCCTTTGCTACATCCAGGCTTGCAAGTGTGGTTTCACGCCCCAGTCATGAGCAGCTGGAAGCGGCCAAGAGGTTGGTCCGCTATGTGAGTGCAACGGCATCAGTGGGTTTGGAGTACAGTGCTGTGAGGCAGAGGCTGCAGAGGAGTGCAGCTGATTTGAGCAAGGGGGAGATGCTCCTGACCTGCTACACTGACGCTAGCTTCAACTCGGTGAAAGCGGATGGCACCAGCATTGGAGGCTATGTGTGCCTGTTCGGAGGTGGTGCAGTGAGCTGGCGCAGTAAGAAGCAGAATGAGGTGGGGCAGTCCTCGTGTGAGACAGAGTACATGGCCCTGCATCATGGGGCAAAGGAGGTGGTGTGGCTGAGGCGTTTGTTGGAGGAGATTGGAGTTGGTCAGAGGGAGCCGACTGTGATTTTCTGTGACAATGAGTCGGCGGTGAAGCTAGCGAAGAATGCTTGTCTTCATGGGCTGACCAAACACATCAGGCCTAAGTGGCACTGGGTGAGAAGGCTCCTGGACAAGGAGGTGCGGCTGGAGATTGTGAAGACCCATCAGCAGGCGGCTGACATTCTCACCAAGCGCCTGGCTGAATCTGAGCATTGGAAGGGCATGAAGCTTGCTGGGATGAGTGTGCATTGAGGGTGCATGCTTGAGCTATGGCATGTGGGATGATGGTTGGCAGCCAGAGGGGGAGTTTGTTGAGTGATGCTACCATTCGCATTCACGTCTGTCTGCCTCCCATCATATGTTCGTGCGTTGCATGCGTGTTGTGAGTGTGTGCAAGAATTTGTGTTTTGTGCGGTTTGGTTTTTCCGAGTGTGTGTGTGAATGTTATTTGGCTTGAGCAGATATCTGAAGTGACTCCTCTGCTCAAGAGCTTTCCGAGGAACCAAGTATCGCTTCAATCGGAGCACGAACTAGAAAGTTACGAACGTTGGAGTTCGTATGCTTTTGATATTTGGTTGTGGTGACTATGGGAAGTTGTGGGGTTGACTCAATATGGGGTACAGACTTTTGGGGGTTGGGAAATTCGTCTTTTCTACTGTAGTTGCTGCCAAATGGTTGGGAGAAACCAAACCAGGTTGGCAAGTGTGGCCAAGTTGGGTTGAGGTGGATTGTGGAGGTTGGGATAGTGACAAAGGTCAAAGTTGGGTTGCCTATGGGGAAGGGAATTGTATGGCATGGGGTTTCCTTGGTTGGGGACTCTCTTGGGACCTTCCCTCTCGTCCTCCTTATCCCTTCCACCTGGTTTAGTGCTACTCCAATTCTCTTGTGTGAACTTGTGTGAACTTTGTGATTGAGTTAAGTTCTTATGGCAGCATACCCCCCTGTGCGCCGAAATTGATAAGTCGAGATTTACTTCACCTCTTGATACGTTTCAACTTGGGAATTGTAGCCACGGAGTAGGGCTACAACATATATGAGTTTAGTGAAGTTTAGACTGTGCACGTTTCGTCGACGGCGTTTCTTGTGAGCGCAACTATTCTGTCCAGAAATAGGGACCAACGATTTTGAGAAATTTAGGCACCTAATCTTCATAGACTCCGTCCTTAGTCTCTAACAAATTCTTCCTTGAGTTCTTGGAAGTCTGCTGCGCACACCTGCAACACGCCGAACGTTCCACACACGACAAAATAGAAAACCGCACACGACACGCAAACGACGACGTGACACGCGACTAGCGATAACTCGCTATTGACTCGACGCACACATTCAAAATCATGCTTCATCATACACACACTATTGTAAACATGAAATATATATTATTTCATGCCCTCATACCATTCCATGCACACACGCATGCACGCACACGGACAACAAGCCGAATGCAAACCGTAGGGTTGCACCAACACTAAGGAAGCGCTCGGATCCCTATAGGCGTAGGGAAAAGCGTCGAACGACCTGAATGTTGTTGCGTATTCGGGTGGCGCATGCTCAAATACACCTACCAGAGCAATTCCGGGTTGGTTCGCGCGCACAGAAAAGTTCGGCGTCTTCGCTGACGACCGTGTTTGCCGACAAATGCTAAAGAAGCGCTCGGATCCTTATAGGCGTAAGGAAAAGAGTCAAACGACCTGAGTGTTGTTGCTGATTCGGGTGGCCCGTGCTTAAATACACTTAACAGAGCAATTCCAGCTTGGTTCGCGCGCACAAAAAAAGTTCGGCGCCTGCGATGACGGCCGCGTCTGCCGACAAATGCTAAGGAAGCGCACGGATCCCTATAGGCGTAGGGAAAAGCATCAAACAACCTGAATGTTGTTGTATATTTGGGTGGCCCATGCTCAAATACACCTACCAGAGCAATCCTGGCTTGGTTCGCGCACAAAAAAGTTCGGCGCCTGCGATGACGGCCGCGTCTGTCGACAAATGCTAAGGAAGTGCACGGATCCCTATAGGCGTAGGGAAAAGCATCAAAAGACCTGAATGTTGTTGCATATTTGAGTGGCCCATGCTCAAATACACCTACCAGAGCAATTCCGGCTTGGTTCGCGCGCATAAAAAAGTTTGGCGCCTGCGATGACGGCCGCGTCTGCTGACAAATGCTAAAAAAGCGCTCGGATTCCTATAGGCGTAGGGAAAAGAGTCGAACGACCTGGGTGTTGTTGCTTATTTGGATGGCCCATGCTTAAATACACCTACTAGAGCAATTCCGGCTTGGTTCGCGCGCACAGAAAAGTTCGGCGCCTGCGATGACGGCCGCGACTGCCGACAAATGCTAAGGAAGCGCACGGATCCCTATAGGCATAGGGAAAAGCATCAAACGACCTGAATGTTGTTGCTTATTCGGATGGCTCACGCTTAAACACACCTACTAGAGCAATTCCGGCTTGGTTCGCGCGCACAGAAAAGTTCGGCGACAGCGTGTTGAATAGTAGGAGTAGGACCTAGGCTTAGTAGCCTAGGCCAAAGGGAGTCGAGAGAGTTTAGCAAGAAGAAGTGGGGGTTTCACTATAGCAAACAAGGAACATATAGGCAAGAGAACAAGAACAAGAGGTGCACCACCAAAAGTTAATAATAACTACACTAAACTACAGGTACAGGCAGTTACACAAATATATTCTGACACTCCCCCATAACTGCCTGCAGCAGGAGTTTGTGCAGCGACACTTCAAGGATGAGTACACCAAGCAGAAGAAGAGGCGAAGTGAGGAGGAGGAGGGACTGTGAGAGGAGAGGAGATGGGAGGCGATGGCTGAAGCTGCAGACACACGGGCGACAGGAGCGGCTGGCACAGTGGCTACCGGGACAGCGCCCCAAACTACTGGAGTAACTGGCTCTGCGGCTAACTCTGAGCGGCAGGAGCAACGGACCCACGGGCGACAGGCGCAGCAGGCTCTCTGGGCTACCAGCGGCAGAGCCCCGGACTACAGGTGCTGCGGACGACAAGACGGCAGCCTCCGCTCAACCTCCCCCAACTGTCCCACACCCCTCTCACACACCCACTGCTGCACCCCTAGTTCCACTACCACGGCACCCCCCTAGCGCCACTCCCCTCGGCTCCCACACATCCACCCCCCTCAGCGGCAGCTGCAGCAGTGGGAGACGGAGGAGGAGAAGGAAGGGACGACGCACACGTATCACCCCCACACCCTCCACCCCCATACCCTCCGTTCCACGGCTGCACGCGCAGCAGGGAGACGAAGAAGGGGGGAGGGGGGGGGGGGGGGGGGGGGGGGAAGAGCACGGGCAGCACAGGCACGGGCAGCAACGGGCGGCAACGGGCAGCACAGGCACGGGCAGCAACGGGCGGCGACGGGCAGCACAGGCACGGGCAGCACAGGCACGGGCAGCAACGGGCGGCAACGGGCAGCATAGGCACGGGCAGCAACGGGCGGCAACGGGCAGCACAGGCACGGGCAGCAACGGGCAGCACAGGCACGGGCAGCAACGGGCGGCAACGGGCAGCATAGGCACGGGCAGCAACGGGCGGCAACGGGCAGCACAGGCACGGGCAGCATCGGGCGGCAACGGGCAGCACGGGGACGGGCAGCAACGGGCAGCAACGGGCAGCACAGGCACGGGCAGCAACGGGCGGCAACGGGCAGCACAGGCACGGGCAGCAACAGGCGGCAACGGGCAGCACAGGCACGGGCAGCAACGGGCGGCAACGGGCAGCACAGGCACGGGCAGCAACGGGCGGCAACGGGCAGCACAGGCACGGGCAGCAACGGGCGGCACCGGGCAGCATAGGCACGGGCAGCAACAGGCGGCAACGGGCAGCACAGGCACGGGCAGCAACGGGTGGCAACGGGAAGCATAGGCACGGGCAGCAACGGGCGGCAACGGGCAGCACAGGCACGGGCAGCATCGGGCGGCAACGGGCAGCACGGGCACGGGCAGCAACGGGCAGCAACGGGCAGCACAGGCACGGGCAGCAACGGGCGGCAACGGGCAGCACAGGCACGGGCAGCAACAGGCGGCAACGGGCAGCACAGGCACGGGCAGCAACGGGCGGCAACGGGCAGCACAGGCACGGGCAGCAACAGGCAGCACAGGCACGGGCAGCAACGGGCGGCAACGGGCAGCACACGCACGGGCAGCAACGGGCGGCAACGGGCAGCATAGGCACGGGCAGCAACGGGCGGCAACTGGCAGCACAGGCACGGGCAGCATCGGGCAGCACAGGCACGGGCAGCAACGGGCGGCAACTGGCAGCACAGGCACGGGCAGCAACGGGCGGCAACGGGCAGCACAGGCACGGGCAGCAACGGGCGGCAACTGGCAGCACAGGCACGGGCAGCAACGGGCAGCACAGGCACGGGCAGCAACGGGTGGCAACGGGCAGCACAGGCATGGGCAGCAACGGGCGGCAACGGGCAGCACAGGCACGGGCAGCAACGGGCAGCAACGGGCAGCACAGGCACGGGCAGCAACAGAGCGCACGAGGGCGCGGGCAGAGCATAGCGCACGAGGGCGCGGGTGAGACAGAGCGCACGAGGGCGCGGGAAGAGCAGAGCGCACGAGGGCGCGGGGGAGACAGGGAGGCTGCACAGGGTCCAGGAGCGGCGTCGCGGGCAGCTGCAGGGTCGGCTGCTGCAGGGGCGGCTGCTCCAGGGGCCAAGGGCAGCTGCTGCAAGGGCGGCTGCTCCAGGGGCCAGGGGCGGCTGCTGCAATTGCGGCTGCTCTAGGGGCCAGGGGCGGCTGCTGCAGGGGCGGCTGCTCCAGGGGCCAGGAGCGGCTGCTGCAGGGGCGGCTGCTCCAGGGGCCAGGGGCGGCTGCTGCAGGAACGGCTGCTCCAGGGGCCAGGGGCGGCTGCTCTGGGTCCAGGGGCGGCTGCTCCAGGGGCGGCATCGCTGGTGCAGGGCAGGCCCGCGCGCGGCCCGCAGGGCAGCACGACGGACATGGCGCGGGCAAAGGTGAGGCAGAGGCGGCGGCCAGGGGGGGGGGGGGGGGGGGGGGGGCGCCGCGACGAGCAGGGACGGCGCCCAGGGGGCGCCGCGACGAGCAGGGGCGACGCCCCAGGGGCGCCGCGACGAGCAGGGGCGGCGTCCAGGGGGCGCCGCGACGAGCAGGGGAGTCGCCGCGCGGGTCCCGCAGGGGCGTCGCGACGAGCAGGGCAACGCCGCGCGGGTCCCGCAGGGGCGTCGCGACGAGCAGGGCAACGAAACCGGGGTCCCGCAGGGGCGTGGCGACGAGTAGGAGCAGTGACGTACGGGTCCCGCAGGGGCGTCGCGACGAGCAGGAGCGGCGCCTCGCAGGGCGCCGCGAAGGGTAGGGTCCGGGCGGGCAGAACAGGCCCGCGCGCGGACGTGGAGCAGACGCGCAGGCGGCGTGAGGGCAGGCCGCGCGCGGGGCAGGAAGACGCCGCGTGCCCGGGGCGCACGACGGGCAGAAAACCGCCGTGCGCCCCGAGCACACGGCGGGCAGAAGATCGCCGCGCGCCCGGGGCGCACGGCGAGGAAAATACGCCGCGCGCCTGAGGCGCGCGACGGGATGACAGGCAGCGGAAGCAGACTGGTGGGCCCGTTAAGGTAGGCCGCAGGAAGTTCCTGCTCTGATTACCATGTTGAATAGTAGGAGTAGGACCTAGGCTTAGTAGCCTAGGCCAAAGGGAGTCGAGAGAGTTTAGCAAGAAGAAGTGGGGGTTTCAATATAGCAAACAAGGAACATATAGGCAAGAGAACAAGAACAAGAGGTGCACCACCAAAATTAAATAATAACTACACTAAACTACAGCTACAGGCAGTTACACAAATATATCCTGACACAGCGATGACGGCCGCGTCTGCCGACAAATGCTAAGGAAGCGCACGGATCCCTATAGGCATAGGGAAAGGCATTGAACAACCTGAATGTTGTTTCATATTTGAGTTGCCCATGCTCAAATACACCTACCAGAGCAATTCCGGCTTGGTTCGCGCGCATAGAAAAGTTCGGCGCCTGCGATGACGGCCGCGTCTGCCGACAAATGCTAAGGAAGCGCTCGGATCCCTATAGGCGCAGAGAAAAGCGTCGAACAACCTGAATGTCATTGCATATTCGGGTGGCCCATGCTAAAAAACACCTACCAGAGCAATTCCGGCTTGGTTCGCGCGCACAGAAAAAAGTTCGGCGCATGCGACGACGGCCGTGTCTGCCGACAAATGCTAAGGAAGCGCTCGGATCCCTACAGGCGTAGGGAAAAGCGTCGAACGTTCTGAATGTTGTTGCATATTCGGGTGGCCCATGCTCAAAAACACCTACCAGAACAATTCTGGCTTGGTTCGCGCGCACAGAAAAGTTCGGCGCCTGCGATGACGGCCGCGTCTGCCGCCAAATGCTAAGGAAGCGCTCAAATCCCTACAGGCGTAGGGAAAAGCGTCGAACGACATGAATGTTGTTGCATATTCGGGTGGCCCATGCTCAAATACACCAAGCAAAGCAATTCCGGCTTGGTTCGCGCGCCGACCAGAGCGAGCATCGTGACGAGCGAGCATCGTGACAGGTTTGTTGTAAGTTTTTGTTACAATCCCAAGAGGGACTTAGCGAAGGATCGCTCAGGGTTGATCGCAGAGTAGTGTTGCAGCGGAAGTTTGAATCTCAGGTCAGAGTGAATGTAAATGACTGAGTTGATAATAGCATGCATACATCGAGTTTATATAAGAGTACAAGGGAATACGAAAAGACCTAGACTAGCCATGTACTCTAAGGGGTACATTCCCTTATTACAACCGAATTCAAAACCGTGCGGCGCGGGAACCCGTTTCAAACCTGTTCCCACTCTTTTCACTTCAAATGTTTCTGCCTGCATCGGTCTTGGTCGGACGGTTGCTGCGTCGTTTCGACTCTTCTGACTCCTCGACTTCGTACTCGGTAGAGTCGGCTCCTGCAGCATACAGGAATGCCTTCTCATAAAACTTCATATCGTAACACTCCCCTTCATTCCTGGACGCGGGTGGAGCTGACTCGCTTGACTACTCCGGTGAGGTCAGAGCAGTGCTTATACTGCTGACGTGGCAGGTGCTTGGTGAGGAAGTCTGCTGCCATCTCAGTAGTCGGGCAGTAGGCGAGGTCCACTTTGCCTTGGTCGATTTTGTCCTTGACGAAAAAGTACCGAAGCGCGATGTGCTTCGTGCGGTTAACGAAACCAGGCTTGTTCGCGATCCTGATGGCACTCTGGTTGTCGCAGTGAAGGCGAAAGGTAGGCGAGGTTGGAATTTTCGCCTCCTGTAGCAGCTCCTGCAGGTACAGGCCTTCGCGAACTGCTGCTGTCGCGGCGATGTATTCTGCTTCAGCCGATGAGAGGGCAACCAGCTCCTGCTTTTGCGAGTTCCAGGAGATTGGCCCAGTGGGTTCCAGGCGAAAGACGAAGCCGGTTCGGGACCGTCGATTTGCAGGGTCAGCTGCGTGATCTGCGTCCACGTAGCCGTTGAGATTGAAGGAGGTCGTCGTCAGCGTAGAGTAGGAGAGCCCGATGTCAGGTGTGGAGATGAAGTACTGCAGGGCGCGCTCCAGGTCCAGCTGGTTCTCAGCTACTGGCTTGCGAGAGTACTGTGCCAGTTGGCTGGCGATGTACGAAAGGTCGGGTCGGCAGGTGACAGAGGCGAATAGCAGGCACCCCAACTTCTGCTGGTACATTTGGAGTCCTGCGGGCGACAGAGGTTTGTTGTCCGGTTTGTAGTTGGCGCTTGGGTTGCGGTAGGGAGTTGAGAGTGGTGCGGGTGAGATGTTGAAGCGTTCCCCCAGCTGCTCTGCGTACTTCGAGGCTGACAGGTGAATTGCTTCTTGCGCGTAAGTAATGTTTAACCCCAAAAACTGCTTCACTTCGGGGTTGATGGTGATGTCCACGCGCTGCGCCAGGTTCTCCTGAAACTGATCAAGGAGTTTGTTGCAGGTGCCTGTGTACAGCAAGTCGTCGACGTAGACTGTCAGGAGGATGTAATCGCCGCTGAAGTGAAGGCGATACATTCCCGGGTCGTGTGGGAGCTGTTTGAAGCCGATGTCGAGGAGGATTTTGTGCAGGTGCTGCTGCCAGAGACGTGGCGCCTGTTTGATCCCATAGAGGGACTTTTTCAGTTGGCAGACACTGGGATCACCCTCTCCGTAGGTGTGCGGCTGCTCCACAAAGATGGTGGCATCCACCAACGCGTATAAAAACGCGTTCTTCACGTCGATCTGTCGCAGTGGTAGGTGCTTCGCGGCTGCAATAGCGAGTAGAATCCGGACCGAGGTGTGGCGGCTGACAGGAGCGAAGGTTTGGTCGAAGTCGATGCCGTGGCGCTGATCGTACCCGCGTACGACCCAGCGTGCCTTGAAACGCTCGATAGTGCCATCCGCGTTGGTTTTCAGGCGAAAAACCCATTTTCCGCTGAGCACCCTCCTCCCCTTCACTGCTGCACGATCGACTAGGACCCAGGTGTCACGTGATTCCAGCGCCTTTAGCTCCGCATCCATCGCAGCACGCCACTCCTTGGCGTGAGGGCCGGTTAGGGCCTGGCGAGGATTCTTGGGCTCCACGGCCCGTGCGAGAGTAGAGACGGACGTGTGCAGGCCAAGAAGTTGAAGTCCTGACACGTTGGTGGTGTCTGCGTTGGTGGGAACCTCCACCACGTCGTCATCTCCGCTTTCGTAGCCGGGTGCTGCGGTGCTTGGTTCTGTCTGGCGCCGTGACGTTCCTGGCGCGGGGTCGTCATCGCTGTCATCGTCATCGTCGTCGCGCGGGCGAGGGGGAATGCTGGGATGTTCGTCAGCGTCGTCACGATCCAGTACTGCTACTGCTGCTGCATCTTCTGGAGTCGCGAAGCTGCGGCCGCTGTTGACATAGCCGCGTGCCTGGTTGCGGCGTTCGTCCTCGATCCACTGTGTTAAGGTGAGTCGTTCGTAGAAGAGGATGTCACGCGCAGGAACGATTTCTTTGCTGTCCATGTCAAGGATGAGCCATCCTTTGTGCTCGTGACTGAGCCCCAGATGAACTCCCCAGTGCGCACGATGAACGAACTTGCCGATTGTTGCTGAGGTCGGCCGGTATTGCACCATGCACCCCCAAACTCGTAGCATCGAGGGGTCTCCCCTTGAGCCGGTCCACTTCATGTGAGGGGACAGGTTATCCCTGTTGGCGGTGGTGGAAAGGAGATTGTGCAGGCGCACCGCGTGGTTCATGGCGTAGGGCCAAAATTTCTTTGGCAGGCCGGACTGGTTCATGATGGCGCGGACTTTGGTCATGAGCGTGCGGTTGACCCTCTCGGCGACACCTTGCTGCTGATGAGCGTAGGGGAGGGAAATCTCGTGCTTAATCCCCTTCTCGGTGAGAACGCTCTCTAGTTCGTTGCTCCGAAATTCCTTTGCCCCATCACTCTGCCAGATCTTCAGCTTTCGTCCTGACTGGCGTTGCGCGTGCGCGAGGAAGATGCGGAATACTTCTGGAGCCTTGGAGCGTGCGTCGACGTTGGCGACCCACACGTGGCGTGAGTTGGCGTCGATGAAGGTCAGCGTGTCCTTTTCGCCGTTGAGTCCGTCGCAGGTGAGCACGATGAAATCGCTGTACACTTTTTCCAGCTTCTTGTAGCGATTGGTGCTCGGCTCCAGAGAGGGATAGGCGGTGTGGGAGAGTGCAGCTGTGGGGCAGACGGTGCAAGTGGTTGGATGTGGGGTGGTGTGCTGTAACTCTGTTCCGTCGGGGCGCAGCAGTGCTCCTGGCGGAAAGACTTTTGCGCGGAGGCAGTTGGCGAGTGTCTGGCGCGAGGGGTGTCCCATCCGCTGGTGCCAGAGATCATCCTCGGCACGAATACCGGAGGTGCGCTTGTAGCAGGTGTGGTACTCTGCTGCCTCCTCCGCCGTGAGTTCCGGGATCTGGAGTGGAGGTTTTTCCTCTTCTCCTGGTTCTGCTTCGGTGTTCTCCTCCTCTGCTTCTGCTTCTGCCGTTGCCTCTCCTTCTGCAGGTGCCGTTGTGAGGTAAAGCGCCAGAAATTCACGGTCGGGGATGATTGTGAGCGGGGTCGTGGTGCCTTCGATGAAGCGCGCGAACGGATCTGGGCGTGAGATTGGACCGAGTGAGTCCCGCGGAGGTGTTGGCGGTACGTTCCCCTCCTCAATCTCCGACCAGGGATCACGCCAGCGAGAAGGTGAGCGAGGTGGGTCACCAGTGCGGGGGGGGTGTCCGAGGGGGATGGCGACTCGGGGTGGTGCTTCGCCGCGCTCAGCTTGCATTTCTCGTTCAGCTTCCTCCAATTCCTCTTGCGTGAGCTCCCCTTTGTCGGGCTCGGTGTTTCCCCATCCTCCTGTGGTGACCGTGCCGCTAGCGCCGGCTCCCCATGCTCCAGTTGCGGAGCCCCAGGTTGCTCCTTCTTCATGTTCGTAATCATCATCTCCCCATGCGCCATGACGTGCGGACTCTTCGTCCCATCCTGCCGCTACACGTTCCTCATACAGCTTCTGTTTCTTCTCCGCCCGTGCTTTGTCCTGTTCTTCCTTGACGCTCAGCTCCTCTGGTGCATCGGGATCTTTCCAGGCAGGGTCAATCTCGCGGCGGTAGACTTCGCGGGTGTATGGGCGTTCACGCCCTTCCGCGTCTTTGGCGGTGGTGTTCGCTTCGAGGACAAACTGAAGATTGTCCGAATAGGGTGTTGCCCTCGGCGTTCGCTCTAGCTTGTATTCCTCGTCTGCTTCGCCGAAGATGCGGTAAGATGCAACGGCAAGTTCTTCTCTTGTCATGTTGGTAGGTTCCGCCTCGGCCCTTTCAGCTTCCTGAATTGCCGCTTGCTCTCTTTCTACTTGCTCCGTGCGACTCGTGGTGGGCGTGTGGCAGGTGGTGCAGAGACCGTTGATGTCGGGGTCGTGCAGATTGATCTCACGAGGACTGTGACGAATCCATGGTCGTCCGTCCAGATGCTCCCATTTGCTTGTGTAGGCAAATTCGAGGGGGACGAGGTCCACGAGTTCGTCCGACGAAGCTTGACAGGGAGGTATGTCAAAGTCCAGGATGTAGATACCGTTGATGGAGCGGGCTCGTCCGAGGTATTTGAATGTCTCAGGAGGAGTGTCCGGGGGAGCATAGGTGAGAATGAGGTCGCGTGTCGCGAGATCCGTGTGAATGATGACGCCGCAGTCGCGGAGTTGTCCAGCCGAGAGCGGGTTGAAGCGGAGATTTGGGACGTAGAGCACGTCGTTGAACGAGATGTGGGTGTTGCTATCTCGTGATTGCAGGACGACAAGTCCTTGCGAGTTGGCGCGCAGCTGCTCGTTGTTGGCGACGGTGACGTAGGTTGCGGGGGCGCGGCTCAGGTTGGAGACGTAGCGCGTTGATCCCACCATGTGCTGTCCGCAGCAGCTGTCCAGGTACCAGGTG